CTTCCATTTGTAACTGAGTTGGACTAAATAAATATATATATATATATATATAAAATAAATAGAAAAAAGTTACGGATTAAAAAAAGAGAAACTATTTTTCGAGGAAAGGTTAATGACACTTTGGTAAGCATCTAAACTTAGTAGTACACAAAAGTTTGAATTAGTTTTTCTATTAATATATTTCTTCATTCTACCTTCATTCTATTAATATTAAGATGGAATAAAAATATTTTAATTTGATTGTAAAATAAGCAAAAATTTTGAAATTGAAAAGTATTATTATTAGAATTTTTTTACATAAAAAATATTTATAATAGAGGTAATATATTTGTGAAATTATTTTATGCACAATACAGGAAATATCATTAAGTAAATTTGCTAAGATAAACTACATAGTAGCCTATATAAAAATTAAAATTCATACACTTTTAGAAAAATTCAATAAATAATGTGTAATTATTTATTGTGATGTAATCACAATGCTAGGCTGCAATTTTAAATAATTTTTTACTTTAAAATATATACTCTCCACTTCAAATTAGTCTCTTGCCCCTGTACATCATACTTTTCCATTAGTAATAGAGTTGTGTCAGTTGTCTAACTTCTTTCAGGGAAAAATTTTTTGAATTGAAATAACATAACTTATAGTTTGCACTAGAAGTTTATATAATTAATCAGGCCTTCTGCCCCTAATATTTCCATATCTAGTCTTGAATTTTATTTATCTAATGCCATTCTTGAGATTAAGGGAAGACAGACAGATGACAGACAACAGACAGATGACAGTGGAAATTTATAGGTCTATAGTTTTTTGAAATTGCAGCCCAAAAAGCTTCAATGCATAACTAATGGGATATTTATCAAATACAATAAAGTTTTGAATTAATCTTAAAGTATTAAAAGAAAAATGTTCAAGAAGTTTTGAGTACTAGATACTCATCATCAGAAACAGTGATTTAAAAATAGAAGACAGTTACTGTTCTATTTTCAAATTACTATTTCTGAGATAAATATAAATACAATATCTAACATTCAGAAGTGCTTGAACCTTTGTTATAAAATACCTCATTCTATTAATTAAAGAATTTTTGTTATAATTATCTTAAATAAATACCAAATCAATCATGAGTTAATAAGTAATACACATAATGCAGCAATAATTAAAGTTGTTTGATTTATTTTTAGGTGATAATTTTATAATCATCATTATCATCTTTAAAACTATATAGGTTATTATTTTAAAAAATTTAAAATTAGGCAATATGTCATTCAAAGCTGAAACTTAACAATAATTAATTTCACACCTTCCTTATGTATACCATTTAATTTGAAAGTATAGAACTGGAAACAGGCTCGTAAACTAGGTGGAGAACATTTGTTTTTAGTATAGTATTGCTAGAAGATGTAAGGAAGGTGTGAAATTAATTATTAAATTTAATATTATATACATTTTAGTATAAGTTTTGTCAGAAAGTTATTTAAATTAATTTTTCCTGTTGATTTACATGTTAAAAAATTCTGACAATAATTATAAATTTATTATAATTTTAAAATATTTTAAACCTTACTCTTCTTTCTTTGGATGATTTCTAACAATATGAATAATTCTTCCTGGAGGATACAATGGCTGATGCACTGTTAAAGCAATTGAAGAATCACTTGGATGGCAAGTTACATCTCTGTTTCCTGATTTATCAGGTGATATATCTGATAAATCAAATTTTAATTCTTCTGGACAACAACAAAATACACCTCCTAAAATAATCTTCCACTAAAAGCAAAAATTATATCAATTTTATTTTACAAAGAGAATTGTTATCTTAAGTCAAATTATAAATTTAAAACATTTAAGTAAGTATATATTAAAATAATTGATTTCACCTTTGGATCTTGACTTCTTTTAATAGCATTTATTAAGTCAGATCTTAAGGATTCCATTTGATGGAGACCAATACGTGGAACAAGGTCTTTACCCAAAACAACAGATGTAATAAAGTTTTTTGTATATTCAACAGCAGGCATACTGAAAAAGAATTTAAGTTTTAATAGAAAACATATTAAAACATCAATGTTTATAAATAATAAGATAATTTAAAATAAAATGATTCCTCACCTAAGTAAACCTCCAGGTGGGGAATAAGCATAACAAACTAAATTTGGATATTCTTGTTTTAATAATATAGCTAAAATTGCAGCAGTTCCTGCCCCAAGAGAATGACCAACAAGAACTAAGTCATATAATTGTGTGCCCTTCTCCTTTATAATTGAGTAAAGAAGCAGTAAAGAAAATATAATAATGAATTCCTAAATAATTCAATTATAGTATTTTCTTTAAAGTTAATTAAATCATATAAAAATTTATAAGTAGATGTAAACAATTTAAAATTTTTTAATATTGAGAAAAAGTACTTTAGTAAAGTTATTATTGAAAATTACAAAAAATATTTTAGTAATTATTATTTTAATACTGTAATATTAATTAATTAATACTAAAAAATTATAAACTTTAACATACAGAAATAAATTCATTATCAAATTATCTGTTACTCACAGGACTGTAATTAAATGCTTGTATGAGAATAGCTTCATCAATAAGTTTCCTCCTTATATATTCTGCAGCTTGTACCATTCCCTAATAAATAAATAAGAAGAATAATTTTATTAAATACTCATTTATAATTATTATATAATAATTTTAAACATATATATGTTTTTAACCATAACATACATATATGTATGTTATGGTTAAATCAATAGATCTAGTGAATACACATAAATCATTGGATATTCTGCATAATAACCAACAGTTTTGGTGAACATGATAAATTATTCATATTTTGGTAAAATTAGTCATGTTAACATGTTATTATCGACAATAATCAGCATCCTCTGGTTAAAGCAATAAATCTCTCAGTCGTATGTGATGCCTCCCATGTCTGGAACATTCCAGCAGTCATTTTGCAGTTGGATGCTGATAGCGGGATATATGAGAATGGCACCAAAAAGGGCCGACAGCCTCAAAAGCCTCCCCCAACAGCTCCTGATTTTATTGTGTATCCTTGTGACTGTGCCAGAAAATTGTCCATTACAGGCAGTCAAGGGTACAAGAGATGCAACTGTAAGATAAAATGCCTTTCAACAAAATATGGCTGCAAAAGTCACAACATACTTTGATTTGAAAAGTCATGACAATTTTTCCTGTTCTAACAAGTAGGAGGCTGTTTGTTTAAAAATGGTAAGAATAAAAATATTCTGTACTTTATAAGTTATTGCTACAGCCAATAGGTTTGGTTGTTATATAGAATAACTGGTGAAAATAATTAATTGCATGTATTTTATCATAATAATCACAAATACTGATTATTTTGTAAAATAAACAGTAATTATGTATAGTAACCAATTTTTTAGATTAGCTGTAACATATATACTAATTATAAACATTAAAAGATGCAATATTTAAGATTGCTTTATTTCATTGTTATATTTTAACATAATAATAACTTTTATGAAAATAAAACTGAAGTGGTAATATATGGTTTTTAGAAAAAAGATTTGTTATTTCAAAATAAAAACAATATATCAATGAAATAACTATCATCATATTCCTCTAAAACATTTGAATTAAGCTGTTATTTAAATAAAAAACTTTGTTTTGACTTCTATTTTACACAAACTTCATTCATTATATTTGTAATTCAAAAAGACAGTTAATAAAATAGTAATTATTAAAAACAGCAACACAGTTTTAAATAATTATTTATCTTTATATTATTTTCAAACTTAATTCTCATCTTCACTTCTGTTAAGTTAAATTACTGTTAACTGAAATAAATAATGTTCTAAATGAAATAAATCAGTGTAAGTAAATTCAAATGAAACTTAATGATTGAATTGGCAATAAATTGGCATAAGAACCATTTTATTAACTATTTTAACAAAACTCCACAATAAAATTTATTATTTATATAACCATTTAACTGGATGAGAAGTTAAATAAATAATACATTTTAATGATATTACAAGAATTTAAGATACTATCAGTTACAATTTTTACTTAGTGTTCTGTATTACTGAACATGGCTCAAATTTTAGACTATATAAATAATAATTTTTCTAATGACAGATAAAAATCTATTGAATATATTTATAGTCACTAAATGGAAAAATATTTTGAAGATAACAAAATTCATACCACAGTATTCAAATGATAAAAAACATTAGAACTAGTGGATTAATTTCTAAAACAGTCCAAATAATAATTAAATTTTTAGATTCCATATAAAATGTTCTCCTTATGCAATATACAGTAAAATGTCCAGACTATTTCAAAATTACAAATCAGAAAATCTTTATTATTAAATGCTCATTTCAAAATCATGATACTTTGAAAGTAAATTAAAATCCAGAAACACATTTTGTCATTTGGATTTTCCTTAATGATGTATAACCATTAAAAGTTTATTATCATATACATCAACTTGCAAATCAATATGTAAGAAGTTAGACATAAGAAATTTGATAAATTTTCTGAATTCATATTCAATAGTACAGCCAGAAATTTAGCAAAAGAAGTAAAAGTTTAAAAAATTTAACAAGTGTCAAATATTGTTTGAATAAAACTGTTCTATATACTAGATTCAATTGTTATAAATCATTCATATACAATAACATCATCACAATGTTGGACTAACAATATGAATAATTCTTCCTGGAGGATACAATGGCTGATGCACTGTTAAAGCAATTGAAGAATCACTTGGATGGCAAGTTACATCTCTGTTTCCTGATTTATCAGGTGATATATCTGATAAATCAAATTTTAATTCTTCTGGACAACAACAAAATACACCTCCTAAAATAATCTTCCACTAAAAGCAAAAATTATATCAATTTTATTTTACAAAGAGAATTGTTATCTTAAGTCAAATTATAAATTTAAAACATTTAAGTAAGTATATATTAAAATAATTGATTTCACCTTTGGATCTTGACTTCTTTTAATAGCATTTATTAAGTCAGATCTTAAGGATTCCATTTGATGGAGACCAATACGTGGAACAAGGTCTTTACCCAAAACAACAGATGTAATAAAGTTTTTTGTATATTCAACAGCAGGCATACTGAAAAAGAATTTAAGTTTTAATAGAAAACATATTAAAACATCAATGTTTATAAATAATAAGATAATTTAAAATAAAATGATTCCTCACCTAAGTAAACCTCCAGGTGGGGAATAAGCATAACAAACTAAATTTGGATATTCTTGTTTTAATAATATAGCTAAAATTGCAGCAGTTCCTGCCCCAAGAGAATGACCAACAAGAACTAAGTCATATAATTGTGTGCCCTTCTCCTTTATAATTGAGTAAAGAAGCAGTAAAGAAAATATAATAATGAATTCCTAAATAATTCAATTATAGTATTTTCTTTAAAGTTAATTAAATCATATAAAAATTTATAAGTATATGTAAACAATTTAAAATTTTTTAATATTGAGAAAAAGTACTTTAGTAAAGTTATTATTGAAAATTACAAAAAATATTTTAGTAATTATTATTTTAATACTGTAATATTAATTAATTAATACTAAAAAATTATAAACTTTAACATACAGAAATAAATTCATTATCAAATTATCTGTTACTCACAGGACTGTAATTAAATGCTTGTATGAGAATAGCTTCATCAATAAGTTTCCTCCTTATATATTCTGCAGCTTGTACCATTCCCTAATAAATAAATAAGAAGAATAATTTTATTAAATACTCATTTATAATTATTATATAATAATTTTAAACATATATATGTTTTTAACCATAACATACATATATGTATGTTATGGTTAAATCAATAGATCTAGTGAATACACATAAATCATTGGATATTCTGCATAATAACCAACAGTTTTGGTGAACATGATAAATTATTCATATTTTGGTAAAATTAGTCATGTTAACATGTTATTATCGACAATAATCAGCATCCTCTGGTTAAAGCAATAAATCTCTCAGTCGTATGTGATGCCTCCCATGTCTGGAACATTCCAGCAGTCATTTTGCAGTTGGATGCTGATAGCGGGATATATGAGAATGGCACCAAAAAGGGCCGACAGCCTCAAAAGCCTCCCCCAACAGCTCCTGATTTTATTGTGTATCCTTGTGACTGTGCCAGAAAATTGTCCATTACAGGCAGTCAAGGGTACAAGAGATGCAACTGTAAGATAAAATGCCTTTCAACAAAATATGGCTGCAAAAGTCACAACATACTTTGATTTGAAAAGTCATGACAATTTTTCCTGTTCTAACAAGTAGGAGGCTGTTTGTTTAAAAATGGTAAGAATAAAAATATTCTGTACTTTATAAGTTATTGCTACAGCCAATAGGTTTGGTTGTTATATAGAATAACTGGTGAAAATAATTAATTGCATGTATTTTATCATAATAATCACAAATACTGATTATTTTGTAAAATAAACAGTAATTATGTATAGTAACCAATTTTTTAGATTAGCTGTAACATATATACTAATTATAAACATTAAAAGATGCAATATTTAAGATTGCTTTATTTCATTGTTATATTTTAACATAATAATAACTTTTATGAAAATAAAACTGAAGTGGTAATATATGGTTTTTAGAAAAAAGATTTGTTATTTCAAAATAAAAACAATATATCAATGAAATAACTATCATCATATTCCTCTAAAACATTTGAATTAAGCTGTTATTTAAATAAAAAACTTTGTTTTGACTTCTATTTTACACAAACTTCATTCATTATATTTGTAATTCAAAAAGACAGTTAATAAAATAGTAATTATTAAAAACAGCAACACAGTTTTAAATAATTATTTATCTTTATATTATTTTCAAACTTAATTCTCATCTTCACTTCTGTTAAGTTAAATTACTGTTAACTGAAATAAATAATGTTCTAAATGAAATAAATCAGTGTAAGTAAATTCAAATGAAACTTAATGATTGAATTGGCAATAAATTGGCATAAGAACCATTTTATTAACTATTTTAACAAAACTCCACAATAAAATTTATTATTTATATAACCATTTAACTGGATGAGAANTTTTAACTCTATATACTGTATTTAAATTTTCTATTAAAAAATCTTAGATGCTAAATAAATAAATTAATTAATACTGTATAATATTTAAAATATATATAAATAATTACATATTGCATATATTGCAAATAATCATATATTGCAAGTAAATTATATATAGCAAAAGTTCATGGGAGTTTTTTTGTAAATTACCTTATATTTAACAGACATTTGCTACATTGTAAAATTATTAGGAAAACATGTAATTTCCTAATATAGTACATATATAAATACAAAATAGAATTAATCTGATATTTTGCATAATTGGTAGTACAGTATATGTACAGTACTATACATATTTTCATAAAAATTTATCATTAAAGCTGAATATAATTTTAATAGACTGAATGCTTTAACTTTGTAAAATTAAAGAAATATGAAGCATGAAATCAAATACAAATGCAATTTAAATTGGATTGGTTCATTTTGTATCATTACCAAGCAACATAATTTTGGAATAAATAAAACATATCTGTCTTTCAGCTTTAAAAATCAAAGAGATTATTTAACATGTATTTACCAAAAATGTAAACTAGTAAGAATATAGCAGAGTGGAACTTAAAGTAAAATTAACCTTATGGCCCAACCAGTCATCATGGATAGGTTCTGTTGGCAGATGCTCTCCTTCTGCATTTAAATCTGTAATTACATCCTGGGAAAACATTAAATTTCTGTTTTATAATGCCAATGTTATTGACAAAAATAAAGATTTACATGTTTAAATATAAATTCTCAATTTTATATAGTTGTTACATAGTTATAAAGCATAAAATTTTATTCACCTGAAGGGAAAGTGTTCCTCGAATTGATACAATAACAGTTCTCTTTTCATGATCTACAGCAACAAAAAAAGGTGTTTCTCCAACCTATAATAAAATCAAACAAAAGTTAAATGAATGGAAAGACAGACAAACAGCAGACACACAACAGTGGGAATTTATAGGTCTACAATTTTTTCAAATTGCAGACCAATAATAATTACTATACTTGGAATCACTAAACAAATCACACACAGGTTTGAAGAATTAATTATATATATGATTGCAAAAGGGAAAAAATCATATTTTCATTATCTTATTAAATATTCAAAAACTATGAGTTGGATGGTTTAAATCTATACTAATGCAGCAATCTGCTTTAGTTTATCATTACACTTACATATGAATAAATTTCAACTGTTAAAAAAAATGAATGTTAGTAGCAAGGAGTACTAATTGTTCCCTTGTACCCCTGGCTGCATCACTATTCATATTTAATGAATCATTTATTCTGTTTTAAAATCAAATTTTTATATTATTGATTAAAATTGTTAGTATTTGNACCAGTTAAATGTCTGACCCCAAAAGTAATAAAGAAAAGTACTAAGAAGAAACAATAAAAAGTTGAAAACAAAGAATGGGAAAACTATCATAAAACTTGGTGATAATCACCACACTATATAGAAACAGAATTCTGCTGAATATGAATACTGATTTTACATAAATTTAAATGCATTTTTTTATTTGTAATTCTACTTTCTAAAAGACTTTTCCTGATTGGATTTTTGTTTTTCTTTTGTAGTATTATTTATTAAAAGGTTTCAATTTAGGTTCTTTTTTTTTATAAAAATAAGCAAATATCTAAATTTAAAATCATAGTAATCTGTAGAAATAAAAAAAATGTATCATTTATTCAATATAAATTTATAAAATTTATATATCATAAAAACAATATTTTATTTATAGCCTAATTATTATAATTTGATTGCAAAATAATATAATATATTTAAAAACTTACTTCAACATGATAAGTTGCATAAACAACTTCCATATTATGTAGCTGACACATTTTTCTAAGTGCAGCATAATTACAAAGACAACAATTATCCTCTACAACTGTAGCTGCATCATATTTTCTCTTTTGTCTTACAGGCAAACAATAACATCTGTTAATATTTATGAAAAATATGAGCATTATTTTTATAACTATAGTCAATGGCATAACTACTAGAAGGAAGAGGAAGAGCAGTCTTTACTTTGGAAATGTTATTGGTCATGGCCCTGTTTTTTTTAATTATAATCATTCTTTTTGGAAAAATTATATCAATATTATCATCTCTGATGCTGCAACTTCTTGATTACTCATAATATAATTAATGTATAATTTAATTTTTAAAGAATATAAATGGCACTGCGAATCGGCACTTTCTTGTGCAAGGAACATCATACTTGATACAATACTACTTTTAATTAATGAGAATCAGCCAAATACTTGATCTTGTCTGTATCCAGACAAGCTGCTATATAAGAGTCCAGTCTAGATTTGAGTTTGCATTCTCTAATAAAACAAAATGAAGCATTACTACTATGATGTTCTGACTGACAATTCTAAAATATTACTTCATTATTATTACATTAAATAATTTTAGTACATTTATTTTATACTATTATCACCAAGGCTGCAAGTCATAGCTGGGGCCTCATCTCAATGTGTACTACTAATACTTTTGTTTTTTGTCTGTATAATGCCTCTACAAGTAATTGGGCCAGAGGCCTCAAGTGTTTAAAATAACCTTGATTATTATTACCATAATTCTTATATGCATTCTCTAATAATTGGTTTAAGGATTAGAAACTGCAATTATATCACAAATAAAATAATGTTTAATTTGATCATTATCTGAAATAATTTTTCTCAAGTTTTTGGAATTTTTTTATAGATATTTTGATATCTGAAGTATATAACATAATAGAAAAAATTGCTGAAATTAAAAAAATTATATATGCATAAATATGTATTTTTTATAAAACTGTTCAAAACATTATAATTAATCTGTATAATTCTGAGCATTCTGTGCCTTATTAAAAGATATTAAAATTCAGAATATAGTTTGTATATAATATAAAAATTTAATATTAATTGTATATTTTATAAAAAATTATCATATTTAAATCAGCATTCTAAAAACAGCATAGTTATGAGCATTAGATGTAAATATCTTTATTGTAAAATTTTACACTGCATTATAAAATATAAGCTGTAGTAAAATGACAATGCATTTTCAACTTACAAAAATATATTTCAAAGCTAGTGTAATATAATGAAATTGTATATAACTATGTTGACCAATATTGTTAATTGGTAGAAGGTGGATATGGACTTCTTTTAAGGTAAAAATTAAAGTTATGCCACTGACTACAATATTATAAATTTTGAATTTTTGATATAAGACTATACCTTATATATGGACAAAGTTGACAACATCCTGTACTACTGTTTACCATCATAAACATTGGCCAACCATAAACTGCCAAAGCATAATGAAGATAATGTGTTATTGTTTGTACTTCTTTAGCTACATTCTAAAGAAAAACAATTTAATTCAGTTAGTTATTATTGTTTTCATTTTAAATAAATTATAAATTACAATTGAATAGGAAAAGTTTATTAAATTCTTTAAAATACTATGAAAATTTTATAAATATGGGCAGAAATTTCAAAATTTATTAATCTAAAGAAAAACAAAGATCCATACTGAAAAAATATGGCTGTTCAGTAAGAAGCAATTTGATGGCCTTCAGACTAATATAGATCTTTTTAGTTAAATTAAAGAATACATTAAACAATTCATCATTATGAAGATTACTTGGCATGAATCCATAGAAAACAAAGTTTAATAAACTTAATTGAAAAATCAATATATATATATATTTCATGTGATCTTATGATATTGATGAATAAGCTATGTAGATAAATGTTAAGAGCAAATTTATTCAATCATAATACAGTAGAGCATCAATTATCTGAAACAATTTGGGACTGGGGTTGTTCGGATAACTGATCATTTACAAAAAATATATTAAACACAAAACTGTACTGTATATAATTTGTATTACACATCTTACAAATACATACCTTACATAATGTAATACATTAAACTAAGCCTACAGTTCAGTTTGGCAGGGAGGGGAAGAGTGCTGCAACACCACAGCCCTAGCAGAAATTTGAATTTGCCAATTGGAACACTTTCGGTTAACCAATGTTTCAATTGATCGGTATTTGGATAATTAATGCTCTATTGTATTGTATTACATAAAGATCTATAGTAGACAAATATAACAATTTGTTTTCTGATTACTGTTAACAATTAATTGAACATGGAGGATGTACAGGAAACTGATAATGCAACAAAAAATAAATAAATAAAAATTAACACAATCTGGACATTCCTTCCCTAAAAAGTGTCATTAGTACTGTATAAGGCAAGGAAATGTAAAAACCTGGAAGTGAAAGGAATTAGAAGTAGAGAACGAAAACTGTCAATAACTCACCAACTTCTTTGCTCAGATTATATATTAATGTCTAAAAGTTTATGAAAAATTTTCAACACAAGTTCTAGCAGTCCAATTCTGATTGCTAAAATTCCAAGAGTCACCTTCCTTTTAGGCTAAGAAAACTTTCCTGTACATAACCTTTAAAATAATATGCAATTTTTCTTCTTAATTGTTTTTAGTCTTCACTGTTCTTTCTGAACAAAGGAAGAAAAAAGATTTTTTTTTTCATTTTTGTCCCTTGGATATACACAGAAACCGTCAAAAAAACATCTTTGCTTAGCCAATAATCACTGTGTAGTTCTCCCACCATGCTTAAACCAGTTAAATGTCTGACCCCAAAAGTAATAAAGAAAAGTACTAAGAAGAAACAATAAAAAGTTGGAAACAAAGAATGGGAAAACTATCATAAAACTTGGTGATAATCACCACACTATATAGAAACAGAATTCTGCTGAATATGAATACTGATTTTACATAAATTTAAATGCATTTTTTTATTTGTAATTCTACTTTCTAAAAGACTTTTCCTGATTGGATTTTTGTTTTTCTTTTGTAGTATTATTTATTAAAAGGTTTCAATTTAGGTTCTTTTTTTTTATAAAAATAAGCAAATATCTAAATTTAAAATCATAGTAATCTGTAGAAATAAAAAAAATGTATCATTTATTCAATATAAATTTATAAAATTTATATATCATAAAAACAATATTTTATTTATAGCCTAATTATTATAATTTGATTGCAAAATAATATAATATATTTAAAAACTTACTTCAACATGATAAGTTGCATAAACAACTTCCATATTATGTAGCTGACACATTTTTCTAAGTGCAGCATAATTGCAAAGACAACAATTATCCTCTACAACTGTAGCTGCATCATATTTTCTCTTTTGTCTTACAGGCAAACAATAACATCTGTTAATATTTATGAAAAATATGAGCATTATTTTTATAACTATAGTCAATGGCATAACTACTAGAAGGAAGAGGAAGAGCAGTCTTTACTTTGGAAATGTTATTGGTCATGGCCCTGTTTTTTTTAATTATAATCATTCTTTTTGGAAAAATTATATCAATATTATCATCTCTGATGCTGCAACTTCTTGATTACTCATAATATAATTAATGTATAATTTAATTTTTAAAGAATATAAATGGCACTGCGAATCGGCACTTTCTTGTGCAAGGAACATCATACTTGATACAATACTACTTTTAATTAATGAGAATCAGCCAAATACTTGATCTTGTCTGTATCCAGACAAGCTGCTATATAAGAGTCCAGTCTAGATTTGAGTTTGCATTCTCTAATAAAACAAAATGAAGCATTACTACTATGATGTTCTGACTGACAATTCTAAAATATTACTTCATTATTATTACATTAAATAATTTTAGTACATTTATTTTATACTATTATCACCAAGGCTGCAAGTCATAGCTGGGGCCTCATCTCAATGTGTACTACTAATACTTTTGTTTTTTGTCTGTATAATGCCTCTACAAGTAATTGGGCCAGAGGCCTCAAGTGTTTAAAATAACCTTGATTATTATTACCATAATTCTTATATGCATTCTCTAATAATTGGTTTAAGGATTAGAAACTGCAATTATATCACAAATAAAATAATGTTTAATTTGATCATTATCTGAAATAATTTTTCTCAAGTTTTTGGAATTTTTTTATAGATATTTTGATATCTGAAGTATATAACATAATAGAAAAAATTGCTGAAATTAAAAAAATTATATATGCATAAATATGTATTTTTTATAAAACTGTTCAAAACATTATAATTAATCTGTATAATTCTGAGCATTCTGTGCCTTATTAAAAGATATTAAAATTCAGAATATAGTTTGTATATAATATAAAAATTTAATATTAATTGTATATTTTATAAAAAATTATCATATTTAAATCAGCATTCTAAAAACAGCATAGTTATGAGCATTAGATGTAAATATCTTTATTGTAAAATTTTACACTGCATTATAAAATATAAGCTGTAGTAAAATGACAATGCATTTTCAACTTACAAAAATATATTTCAAAGCTAGTGTAATATAATGAAATTGTATATAACTATGTTGACCAATATTGTTAATTGGTAGAAGGTGGATATGGACTTCTTTTAAGGTAAAAATTAAAGTTATGCCACTGACTACAATATTATAAATTTTGAATTTTTGATATAAGACTATACCTTATATATGGACAAAGTTGACAACATCCTGTACTACTGTTTACCATCATAAACATTGGCCAACCATAAACTGCCAAAGCATAATGAAGATAATGTGTTATTGTTTGTACTTCTTTAGCTACATTCTAAAGAAAAACAATTTAATTCAGTTAGTTATTATTGTTTTCATTTTAAATAAATTATAAATTACAATTGAATAGGAAAAGTTTATTAAATTCTTTAAAATACTATGAAAATTTTATAAATATGGTAGATGAAATAATTCGTGCTAGTTTTAAAAAAATTTAAAATGTAGAATTAGTTTATTGTTTAGGTTATTTTTATTATATGTGTTCATTTTTGTTTTACAGTTTATCAAGGAAAAGACAAACAAGTAACATCATTTATTTAGTAAAATTTCTTTTAAGAATCCAGGAAAACTTAATTTATATGTATTTTCCTTATAAATATTTCTTATTTTTTCTATCCTTAACCTTCACTGTCACTTGTACAATAAGATTTTTATAAAATTTAGAAACGAGAAATATGAAATAAAAAAAAAAGAATAAAATTTAATTTTCTACTTACTGGATTATTAATATCCAGGAACTTGGTTTTAGGAGTTATAGGAACTCCCGAAAGGAACTGATAAGTATCATTTTTTTGCTGAAAAAGTATAAATTTTTTTATCTATGAACTTTAAAAGAAAATATTATAAATAATTAAATTTTTTGAAAAATTTGAAACCTTGAATCATAACATTATTAGAGAAAGTTTGGCATCTTAAAGTAAAGCAGTTGTTACTGTAATATTACTATATGTAGATCAATTAAAGGAAAGTATATAATTTTCCTAGATAATATGACTAAGTTAGAAAATGGTTTTGATATAAATTAAATAAAAATTTTATTATTATTATTATTATTTTTATTTTTATTAGATAACTATGTGGATTAAGAGTTTTTATCATCATAAAGCATCAGGATTCATCTTGTTCTTCATAAAATTCTTACTTAGTTCAAGTATAGAGACCTTTTCATCTTTTTGAATTATGCTAAAGATGCACAGGTAAAGATGTGATGCACACAATCACATCTTTATCTGTGACTAAGTTATGCTAGTCACATAATCACACATGCTTACCAGAAGTTAAGGATGTGACTATGTAACTAGTATTACTAATAAATATTGAAAATATGATAAAAACTCAAAGTCTGTTTTAATTCTATCTTCTTTGCCAAATTATTGTCTAGAATGTGAAGCAGTCTTTAGTCACCTTTCTATAAAGTCAAACCCATTATCCATCTAAATTGTGAACTTATTTGTATTCATAAATATAACATGTCCATAAAAATAAAGGCTTAATTTCTTTAATTAAATATGAATGATAGTATTACATGAATGGCATTTTAAAAAATTTAATATCAAAAAAACAACAAATAATTTTTAAAATTAATTGAAAAACATATTACTAACTGAAATAACTGTCAGAAAGAAATGAGTCACTGTCAAAAAATGAAAATTATTTAATTTAAAATATAAATATTTTAATAAAAAAAGAAAATAAATAAAATAGAATGTATTCCAAACAAACTTAATGTCTTATATAAATATAATAAATATGTATGATATGTATGATAAAAAATAGCATGAAAAGATCACAAAAAATAATAGCATACATAAGTAAATAATGAAATATGAAATAGTCAGAATAATTAACAATAAAATATATTAAATTTTAAATATTTAAAAACACAGAATTGTAAAAAAAATCTATAAACTTTATAATGTATACTTACAAATAATAAAAGCAAGATTAAAATATATTCTCTAGAGTTTTCTTTTAAGTATTTAATGAATTTTAACAAGCTATATTTAAAAGATTTAAATATAGCCTGTTAAAATTTAATTTATATATATTTTTTATAAAACAAATAAATTATGTGCTCTTTACTCTTAAAAAAATTAAATTTTATTCTATTGGAAATTAGAGAATCAACAAGTCAATATAAATACAACTAAACAAGAGTGTTGTTTGAGCACATCACTAAGAGATGTAATTTATCTTCACACTTTATATCAATCAAATTTCTTTTCTTATTAAAATTGATAAACATTTATTAATATATTAATTCTTTTCTTATGAAAGTGTATTTTCATATTAATTATCAATCTGTTATTGCCTGTAAAATTTACACAAATTTTATAATAATTTATATATGTTTTTAACTAGAAATATCAAAAATTTATTATACTACTCAGAACATTGAATAAAACATGCCACACCATACAATGAATGCAAAGTTAAATAACACAAGAATATGTTAAATTTTTAATTATCATTTATATTGTATAAAAGCTACTTTAAAATTATAAATAAAAATTTATATAATCTATTTTTTATTTGTACTTTTATAAGTATTAATCCTATTAATTTGGAACAAATAAAAGAATCTTCTCCAAAAAGTAACAGTCCTAATAAGTGACTGACAATTTAAAATTCACATCAATAATTTTTTACAATGTAAAAGTTATTTATATTTTGATACATTTTAAAATAAGAAAATATACCCTATAGTTAATAAAAACAAATTGTTTCCCTATGAAGAAAAATGGAATATCTACTGTATATTAAAATACAAGGTAAGTAAAAATTTTAATGACAGTACAAAAACAAAAGCATTTTTTATTTTTTTTAACATTATAATAAACATTATTATTTATTCAATACTATTATCATAGGCTCATTGAATTTACATTCATAAAATAAAAACATTTTTATTTTTATTTTACAATTGTAGATTCAATGAGTCAATCAAAATACAGTAGAGTTGATTTTTATTATAAATGAAATGAGTTGTTCTGGTTTATTGCTTTTAACTCCTCTTTTTTGTCACAATAAATTATTATATAATTATTAATTATGAATGAATATTGCACAGAATTTTTTTGTTTCCACTTGCAAAATTTGTATATAAGAAATTCAAATATTATATGCTTTATAAATGAGTTATTAATTTAATTTGAAAAAACTTATATGCCAAATTTTCAAAATATTTTTTGAAATTTTTCTACACTTATTTATAAATTATTCTATCAATATATTTCTTTGTTGAATCAGAAAGAAATTTCAATATTTTCTTTAGAAAACTTTTCCTTATAAAATGTGATTTTTATGTAATTGTTTTCAAAGTTTTATAAATCTTATTTTTAAAAATTATTTTATAAAATTCGTAAACTGATTTAACTCTTTCTTAATTTCTCAATTCAATTGTTGTCTTGTTAAAATTTAAAATTTATTCACCTTTAATTATTATATTTAATTATTATTAATTCATTTTGTTGCACTTAAAAATTTTCTTACTTGATTGACAATCATCTGTCTTTCCATCTGTTGAAATTTTCTCAACAACACCATACCTGCAACTACATCAGAAGGGACAACATCCAGATCACGAAAAAATTCAGAAAGAAGTTTGGCTATTTCAGCAAATGAATTCTGAAGAAACAAATATTGTATATTTATCAAACAACATTAAAAATTTCAATTTTAATTAATTTGATCATTAACTTTTATCATTTTATAATAATAGTCTACTCCTCAAATATAAATCCAACTAAAACTATGCTTTTCTCAGAGCAAAAAGTTTTCACTCTAAGAAAAGCTGTTTGAATTGGATAAACTATAGAATATTTTATTTATTAAAATCAAATTAATGATAAAAAATAAGCAACTTACTCTATGCCTATCTGAATGTCCCAAACAACAGAAAAGTAATCTACATCTTTTATTCCAACTATTTTGATATTCACGCATAGCTTTTCTATTTTATAAAGTAAATAATTCAAATATTTATAGAAAAACAAAATAATATCTAATAAGTTTCAATTCTTTCAAACTTATTTAGATGCACTGTACCTCTGCCTCCAATTTCGATGCCCACTACCAGACCTTTTATATCGAAATTTCGCTCTTCCTTCTCTAAGACTTCTTTGATACCTTTTCATTTTCACCCATGACCTTCCTGCTGCATCAAAAGTGCACCAGGTAGTAACTAATACACTTAATAGAACACACCAGTTGCAAATGATAATACCTGAAATTAAGTTATAAATGAATAGTACGATAAAAGGCTACGTTTGTTTTAAAAATTTATTACATAAAATATAGTAACGGATCATTAACCTAAAACAGCTTTTTTAGCAACTCCCATTGGACAAGAGCCATAATGTCTTCCTATCCAAACCACTCCAACAATAAGCCAAGCCAATTCTACTAAAAATATTCCTAAAAAAAAAAAAAACAAATTACAGTAAATAACTTTTTTTCACTCTGCTATTCATATTTATAAAATAAATTATTATTCTAACTATAATTTATTTCAATTGTTCTTTTTTTTAATATTTAATATTTAAAATATCCTATCTAAATGCAAAACAAGAAATATAGACGTATTACTGATAATAATAAACCTGTCTTTACATATAATATTCTGTATTTGCATCTGTTTTATATCAAAATCTTTTCAGGTTATTTTTTATGACATTTAAAATTTGCTAGAACATAAAAAGAAATTTAATTTATCGAAAAAAACAAATGATATTTGATTAACATTTAAATGTTAATTCAAATATAATTTATTTTTTGATAAATTAAATTTTTTTTTGTTCTATCAAATTTTTAAAATGTCATTAAAAATATAAGTTTGTTTAGAAAAAATTCAAATGTAATTTATTTAGAAAACCTGTAAAAATAATACAGAATTATTTAAACTTATCAATAAATAAAATCATTAATTTAATAAAAATTTTTTCTTAAAAATAAAATTCTAAAATTCTAAATAATATTTGAATAAATAATAAATATTTATAACAATTCTGTACTCTAAATATATAAATATTATACAGCATATAAAGGAAATTTAATCTAAGAAATTGCTTAGCTTTCTCTTTACTGATTTATTCTAAACAATTCAGTTGCTTATCTATGCTAATTTTATTTTTTAAATTTTTATTTAAATTGCTGAATTTCTTAATGCTATTAAGCTTTAACTAATCAAGTAGAATGCTTGTACAAAAGGAATTATGAAAATAAATGTATTAAAATTAATTAATTCAATGAATCTTTTTCTCTAATTAGTTTTATTTCAGCAATAAAGATTAAAAAAAAACACATAAAAACTTTAAATTTTATAAAATATTAATGCCTTCAGCAGAGTATTCCAGCTTCAGGAGAATCAAATATTTGTTTATGTCTGCTATGGTTAAATTTGTTTTGATCTTCAAATTCCTAGAATTTACGATATTTTGTTAAGATTTGACCTTAAAGATAAACTATCCAACATAGAAATGTTGGATTTTACATTTAACATTTTAATATATCTCTTTTGCACAATTAAAGAAGATTAAAATAGATTTAATTAAATTTAAAATTTTTCAAAACATTAAATTTTTTAATCTTAAATTTCATTATTGATTAAATCTGCTTTTTATTCAATTTTAAATATTTTTGAATTATTGTTTTGGAAAGTTATTAAAAATATATTATACAATACATTAAAATCATTAAATAGTACACATTTAAAAATTTTAATAGCATCAATCATCATGGCAAAAAATTTTACATTATGTTATAATTAGCATCCAAGATATTTACTTACCAAGTCTTACATAAAGTAAATATTGCATTGATGCCCTGGGAGCAGTGTATAGAATAGTTCCTCTCATTCCAACCCAGGAAATAAATCCCTCCACCACAATACAACCAGAAAGAATGACTACATATCCGAGTACATGCTCGTACAAGTCTATCATACATTCGGAACTCCCTCCAAAATCCATAACACTTAAGATTATGGATAATACTACAAGCCTGCAGGATAAAGTTTAATTAACATCTTTTAAATTTAACAAAAGCTCAATTAGATTAATAAATTGCAAGTATTACTATTGCAGTACTTATTCTGCAAGTACAGTATTAGAAATAAATTTATTGAGATTATATTTTCATTCATTTGTCATTCACTATACTAAATTGTATTACAGTATGTAAAATCTATGTACAGTATATATCACTTTGAATCATTTCATTTCTCTTGAAATTATAAATTTGCAATATTATATTTTTGCTGTTTAGTGTAATTTTTAAAGTATAATAATTAAAATAATAATAACCTAATATTTGCAAAGAAAACATTATTGTAGTGGAGAATAAAATAATAAACTATATAAATCTATAATTTTAATATTTTTAATTATAATATTTAAGATTAAGTCATACTTTTTAAGCTAGGTTTATGAAAAGTTTTACAAGATTTGATTAGTTGAGAAATTCTTGAATTTCCCAACAGTATCATTTGATCATATCAGAAGACATCATCACAAATTATGATCATATAGAGAATATATATCATGTTAAGATCTCACCCCACTGCCAATAATGTTGAAACTCACATATGATTCCTTTGTACAGGTTCTTCAATATTTATGAGCATGTACAGTACAGTATGTTGTATTAATGGATTGTAACCAGGAAGGCCAGAGGACCCAGGCCTCCCTTACAGTTGTAAATAAGTAAATTAAGAAAAATCAAATAAGTACAGGAAAAAGATTTGAATATGACAAACACATTTGTACACATGAATAGTATAGTAGCCTACATGGGTGTCTGTACAGAGGAGGACAAATGGAGCACTTACACATCCCTGGATCCAGTAAAAAATTCCACAAATTATAAGCATAAAATTATAATGTAACCTTACACACTCCACCATGGGATGCTTTGTCTGTCTTTTTGTATTAAATAATACTCTATTCTACAATCTACTTGTAAAAAACAAAAAAAAATTAAATAATTTATTGATTTTAATTTTTAAAAATTTATTGATGTAATTATTTGTCTCCAACCTTCTCAAGACATGTACTGTACATAGATACAATCAGGGGTGGAATTAGGTTGTTCGGGGCCTAGGGCTTATTGAAGTCCAATGGAGACCCATTTTTTGTTAGATTAAGAATCATTAATTGCGGTTTAAAATTCTTTTAATAACATCAAATTTTATTAAAATTTGATGTTATTAAAATTTATGATAATAATTTAATTTTTGTGGGTCCAGGGCTTAAATAAGCCCTATTAGTCCCTATGTAGATCTACCCACAACGCTAGTGGTTACGTTCACAGTAGTACAGACAAAGGATACAGGAGTGAATATAGGTTTGCACGTTCTAATTCGACCCCCTAATATCTATTCAAGTTACGCTATTAGTTAGAACTGTAGTACATGTACTGTACTATTTAACACAGTTGCTACATAATTCGCTACATTTAAAATTTTTATATGTTATTATAAAATAACAATTATTGGGCTGCAATTTGAAAAAATTGTAGAACTAGAAATTCCCACTGTTGTCCGTCAAAATGTCTGTCTTTCCTAAATCTCGAGAATAGAGTTATATTGATGAAAGTCGAGACCAGATATACAAAGCTTAGATGCAGGTCCCAATTAACCATATACGAACTTCCGATGCAAACCGGAAGTCACGTTATTTCAATTCAAAAATTTTCCCAGGAAGGAGTTAAACAGATGACCGGTATGACTCTATTGATAACAGTATGGTGAACAAGGGAAAGACTCTACTAATTTGAGATGGAGAGTATATATTTTAAATTTAATAAATTTAAAAAATGTGATTAAAAATTGCAGAATGGCATTGCGATTATGTCACAATAAATAAATAATTGCTAGTTTTGTTTCATTTATTTTGAATATAGAAATTATTACGTTAAAATTAAGTGTTTATTTAGGTCTACACGCAAATTTCGATGTACTGCACTTGTACTGTATATTGTGGAGTGTTGTATGAGCAGGGGCTCTGCTATAGTTAGAGTAAGAAGTTCTATTATTGTTCACGAGACGAGTTTTTATGAAGTTCTAGAGATAAGTGGATTAGTCATAAATAGTAACATGCACTCAAGTTTGTTGAGTGGTCATCCAGAAGTGAAGATTTTACTCTACGCGAAACTAGAAATTCACGATTACTCGTCGTTAGAGACTCGTTTCGTCGCAAGTTAATCCTATCAATAATCGTATTTAAGTCATTAAAAATAACTGTCTTGTTAAAAACTGATTTTCGGATAAACCATATAATTGCTTATTTTATAGCAATTATAATATAAATCATACTTAAAATATTTTGGCGTTATTTCTAGTTTCTATTGTAACCGGATTTTCTTTAATATCTTTGATCCATCATATTCTCTTTATTGTGTTTTAGAGAAATCTTTTACACTTTATAATTCAACTGCAGATCGACTGAACACCGACACGGATCAACAATTTGAAGGTTGCATCAACTATAATTAAATTTTTGTATTAAATTCAATAAAGCAATAGTTATTAAATCTATCTACCACTTTATTAATCAATAATATAAAGAAATACAACGACACAAACAAAAACAGTAATACACGGAAACAAACAAACAACACTACAACACTACATAACATGAGATTCCGTTATATGCTGTTATTTAAAAGTTAAAGTTTATTTTGTATGCTATAATTAACACATACACTACATAACCTACACACACACACATAAAAAGAGAGAGAGAACATAGACTATCGAAAATATTTTAGAAATAAATTCGGTGTAATGATTTATTTTTTAAAAAAATCCCAGGTAGAAGTAATCATTTCAACCGAGACAGAAATAAAATTCAAAAAATTTTATACATAAAAAAAAAAACATTCGTTTCAATGTTTTATTAATGGTATTTATAAATCGTTACAAAATGAGGTCAAAGTGTCCATCTTTTTTTTGGTCAAAACAAATGTATAGATAATGTAATTAATGATATTCGATAAAAATGTTTAAAATATAAAAATAACTCATAGCTAATGCTATTAAGTTTCATATAAAATATTCTAATTTCATAAAATAAAAACTGTTTTATGCCTGCAGAAATTAAGGAATAATGGTTAGTTAATGTATGGTATTTACTCACGCCATTCATTTACATAGTTCAACTAACACGTCAGTTTTTAGTAAACATTTACTATAAATAGTATATCAAATGTTGATGTTATCGTCTATGATCTTTCCGAGAAAATAATGCAAAGATAATATTAATTAATTCTTGTATAAACATGAAAAATTAAAAAATATAATTGATTTTTTAATGCAATAATAATCAGTCATATAATCAAAAGTCTCAAATTTATATCAAGATGATCTATTATGAAAATAGGCAATTTAAAACGAAGTCTACCGGTTTCCATTATAAAAGGGTTTATGTATAGAAAGTATATAAAAGAAATATATATGGGTCTATAAAAAGTAAATCAGATATGTTGCCAGTATCCATTAATTTTAATTCATATATTACTTTTTCGGTTGTTGTATAACAGAGTGAAAGTATGGCGATCGGTAAAAAAAATTACTTCCAAAAGTTTTACATTTTTGTACTCAGAGGAGGACCTAGAAACATCGAGAAGTGCAAAAAAAAAAGTTTGGGACTTTTTCTATACGGAGGGGACACGATTTTTTCACCCACTTTAAATCTCAATAACTCCTGTGCCTTTGGTCTAAAATTTCTGACATTTTGCCGGGAGATTTGTGTATTAAGGAGAAACGTTTCTAGAAATTTTCAGGAAAATTGGGCCATTTATTCGGGAGATATGGCCCACCTCTTAAAATTACCCGAACTAATTTGAAGACTGAAAGGTATGATCTACAGTAGAAACTATTAGGGATAAAATAAAATAAAGGATGCCGGGGGTCTAGCAACAATGCTTTTTGTTTATAAAGTATTGCTTCCTATATTAATCGATCCGAATTTTTAAAAATAAAATATTGATAAAATTACGAAACTAATAAATCAATATTAGTTTGTACTATACCTTGTATGATGATAAAAATCCTATATTAACTAACGAAATATAACTTCATATGATGGCAAAATGGCCAAGATGATTAAACTCTAATGGGCGGTCGGAAAACTCTAGTTTTTACGTGGTTAGGCTGTTCCGCCCTTTATCAATCGGCAGCCATATTGTGGGCCTGATAAACCAATGATGAGTATAATTAAAAGTCCCTCTTAACGCTCAAGGACAGAGTCAAAAAATACTTTCATGTTATTTCCTGGAAAACTGAAGCAGATTTTTCGAAAAGAAAAACAAATCTAAGGCTGCATAAATGTTCAATTTAATTAATTTTAAAATTGATAAAGATTTAATGTGGAAAACAATTTTGACGTCAAAATATTTACTTTTCCCAGATTTCTATATTATTAATTTTTATAAATATCCAAAACCGAAATAAAATTTAACATATTTATAATTAGATCCGATGGATTTACGCTATGATTCGCTCGTTGTAAAATGAATTTTTGCTGAACCAGGTTCTTTTTATGTATGTAACACAATATTATGAAGGTCAATTTTAATTAAGTTATTCCTTTTAAAGGGATTGTGTTATTTGAAACTAAACAATTTCGAAGATGTTTGTGTTTCATTTCATTTGAACAAGACATAATTATAATAAATGTTAAATTAAGTTTATTTTGTTTATATATTCCTTATAATGAGTTTACTTAGTAATTAACATCATTCTAATGTAGTTGGGCCACCATAATAATATGTAATGTTTAATTGTTGCGATAAGTAATTGTTTTAAATTTGCTAATAGCTTTTGTATAATGAATCACTCGAAACGTCAAAGAATTTTCCTAATAATTTTTCTTTTCAATAAGGTATGACCTTCATCGCATTTTTTCATTGACACAATTCCTTCGAAAAAAATCATCCCTCAGGTAATTATAGAATCATTAAATTGTCTACAGATCATTTCTTGCAATGCAATCATTCTGCGG